GGGTGGTACAAATCAGAGCTTCAGCCAAAAAAAGATGAAGCCCATTATGAAAATAAGACCCATGCCAGTCATCAATAACAAATGTGGGGCTTTAGTGGCAAAAGCATGTCTAGGGCCTGGCAGGAGCAGGCATTGTTCATTCAATTCAAAGCAGCTTTGTTTTGTGTTTCAACTTTGTCTTGTGCATATGTAACAAACTCTAGCTACCTGGAATTCAAAAAAACTCACCTGCACTATGAAACACAAACCATCAGAAAATGTTACTGACCTTTAATAAACCCTCCAAATTACTGTTGCTGTCTAATAGCCAAAATTGTCACTATCTAGTACCCACAAATGACCTCCAAATCACCACCAATCTGCCAAGATAAGTACAGGTGAAGCTAGGCCAATGACAGGGAAATTGCCAGGTACTCATCTAATTTTCTTTGATTGCATCATAGCACAGCATTATGAACTAAAAAATTTACTTTAAAAATATATTTTTATAGTTTTAAAGGCATTTTTCTGTGTGTTGCAAAAATCTGAATTCACTTTTGAGTTGTTGAAATCATTGAAAAGTTACTCCATCCAGGTGACAGAGTGGACACCCCCCGACAACATAACAGCACTACATATTCTGTCTTATTTGAACTGGTGCCCACAAGACTGTTCATAAATCTGCTCAGCTTCATTTCATTTCTCTTCTCCTTCCCCCTCCTACCTCTTCCAGGAAAATCCCTAGTCACAGTAGATCAACGAAGTTTAACCGAATGACAGACCCTCTCTCCCCCAAGACAGACAAAACTAGGCTAAACCAACACATAGGTAGATCATTAACCGAATCAAACCCCCCTCTCTGAATGATTTACCTCCCAGAAGTTGCTGCAGGAATGTGTTCTGAAAGCCTAGAAGAGGGAACACTGCCAGAGCAGGACTCTGCTAGCGGCAAAAGAGTGGCTGTTGGTTCTGGTCTAGCTTCGTTTTCACTCCATTCACAGTAATAAAACCAAATGGAGACACACAGAGAAAGAGATTTTTAATCCACATTGAAATACCATGTTGAACAGGAGGGACTGTGCATGTAAGTGTTAGTAGTGCGGTTTTGTTTGGGGTTTCTTTTTTTTTTTCTTTTCAAGAAAAATGTGGCTTTTACGTCAATACACTAACGGGGCATAAAATGATGCAGAATACACTTGGGCAGCGTCACGCTTTTCGTGAAGGCTGAGAAGTGTCCTGCTGTTTACAAACTCAGAAAGCCAAATAGTATTTGCCTTACAAACATGGAACATAAATATTTATCATTACGCTATAGGATGGGAAACTTCTAGGAAATACTGGGAAAGAAACAGACCCAAGTACTAGTGGGATTCACTCACCAAGTTTTATATGCTTTTTGGTGCAACTTTTTTAGGGTGTCAGCTTTGTGAAGATTAGACTATATCTATTTTTAATATTCTTTCAGTTGTGATAGGAAAAAATAATATATGTATATATAGAGAAAATGTTGTCTTAAAGCCCTCTACTTGAATACTTGAAGAAAAGCACATATCACTGTAATACACAGAAATAAAACTACAAGGTAGAGAGCAATCACAACCACAAGTTTTGAGCAGACTAGATTAGCCACAGGAGTAGGCATTGCTGCCTTATATATGCATATAAAAGCATGCAGAATTAAGTAGCTTAATGAAGTAGGAAACCTTAAGTGCTGAAAATCACTGAAAAGACTTAGGAATGACCAGGGAGCAGACCTCATAGGCGGTAGAGGCGTAGATGGAAATTCTGGTACAGGTGGCCTCTCCAAAGTGTGAGTAGCTATGGAGTTCTTATTCAGATTAATACAGGTATCCTGGGCTCCTGATCCATTAGGTAGATCTGCAGGTATGCTTTATAGGTTTTTTATGAGATGGAGAGAAAAAAATACAATAAATACATCATTTATGACAGGCTGTTTCAGGACTGAACAAGAGTGGGACAAGTATGTTCCAGTGGCTACGGATTAAGTAAACTACAAATCTGGAAAATCCAGACACATTTTCACTCAGGACAATGAACTGACTCTACAATTCAATGCCAAACCCAGATCTGTACCATTTAAGGAAATGGTTAAAAGTGAACACCTAATTCTGCAGCACCCTATTTCCAAGTATGTTTTAGAACTAATTAGTTACTAAAACACATAAATAAACTTTACACGAAGGCTAGACTTTGCCTTTCTAAGCTTTAAGTAACTGGTTTAAGAACTGTAATTTACACATTTCAGTGAGGACTTTCTATTCCTCTTTCCTGTCCTTCCAGCTGCTGAAAAGAAAAATCTGGTTTATCCACACAAAAAGTTAAATATTATTAAATTTGTGTATTTGTCTCTAGATTACTGATGGAAGAGAAGTTTCTATGTCATTGTTTGTCGTATTCATCCTTCTAGGTGATCTCTTAGATTTAAGCTTATTTATTTGTATCAAAACCTCTCAGAATATTTTTTTTTCAAAAATCAGATGTATGCTGGGAATTGGGCAAGTTACCCACATACAAATGGAAAAGCATTCCATTGCTTTGGAAACAAAGTAACAAAGACCAAAATTTAACATCAAGTGTTGTGCAATGGAGATATTAGGAGAAGAGATCACATCTTTAAAGCAGTAAATTAAATTCATTTCACACATTCATAAAACATTTTTGGAACTAGTAAGCTCTTAGGAATTTATAGGAAACAAATAATTTTGCCTGCCTTTCTCACACTGTTCATATAGTCAGTAGCTCGGCTCTATGACTATTTAATTTTAAACAAAACAGAGGCTTCTATACTTCAGATATTCAGAGGCATTTTGTTCTATTTCTCACTAAAGCAATTCACCCTTCAAAGGGATAAGAGTTGGTAAGATAGACATAATGGTAAGTTAAATAACAACATGAAGACATTTCTCATTATCTGAGGACATCTCCAGAACATAAAAATACTTGAAGGCCAAATCATTCTACCCTTATGCAGAAAACTTTAGGGAGAGTCTAAGCAATAATCTTTCATAGTTTTCATTGTACTGACGTCCTCTGAACCTCCCATCTTCTGTTCCGTTCATAAAAAATACTTCAAACCCAGCAAAACTATTTTAATACACTATTTGACATTTGTCCTGGGTTAAACCACGACAACATTCCTACTTTATTAAGCAGTATTCTACCAAGTGATTATACTGTGGTGTATGTGCACTCAGAAACACACTTAGGTTTAGTGACACAGTTCTCACTAACAAGTGTGGGGGGGATATCAAACTGCTTGGCACTTCTCATTAAAAGTCTTTAGTGAAATTATTGACATTAATATTTTCCCCTACTGTCCCTAAGTAGTTAACCCAAATGTGTGCAAGATGTGATATGCATTGGTCCATCATTACCAGTGCAAATCTAATTGTACTTTATGCTGTGCAGTGTTAGGCATCCACATCAGTGACTGTTAGTGTTAGATAACTTGGCTATTACCTGAAGTCTCCATTTTCTCTTTGGCTTTTCCTAAAGATAAAATGACAAATACCATAAGCTACTGCTGTACTGTATAGGAGTATAAACCATCTGAAAAGGAAACACAGGCTTAAAAAGCTTCCAAGGGTCTCCTACTTCACTTTTGTGCAATAAAAAAGCCTACCCCCCCCAAGTCTGCAGAAGCATTTGCAGTAGACATCAGTTTATTCACAGGACCAATGCCACTAGAAAAGCATGTAGGTCAGCTGCACAAACTACAAGCCATTGCAGTGGTTCCTATTAAGCAGTTAGGAAAGACTTGGCTTTTATATGTGCTTTACAATTGACTTTTGAGCTTTGTAACTTCTCTGATTCAGTAAGCATTGCAAAAGACAACAGTGAGTTTTACTTAGTAAAATTCTGACTCCTGTAACCACCCAAAGGTCCTTTATTTTATTGGCATCTACAAATGTTGTGTAAATTTTCACAACACACATATCCCATTCTACTTCTGTGGTAATGTTTTACAGTTCAGGTTGTTTCTTCTACAGAGCAGGGATTTAATTGTTTCTCTTAATAATATAATCTGTGAAGGTGCAATGGAATTACAGCTCCGTGCATGAAAGGAATATTCAAGGAGTCAGAGAGACTCAAAAGAAAAACAGACAGAGCTAAGATAAAAGCAACTTTTATTAAAATACTCTTCAAGCTTCAGAAAGCATAAATTAATGAATGTGTAGCTACTATAATACATTATTTTACAGGAGAACAATAGGGCCACAAAGCTTTTATAAACAAAAAAAGCCTATGAGCTTCACACTGAAATAAATACTACTATCTTATCTTGTTCTTGTTAGAGGATGTTTTGAAGATTTTACAGGTACAGAGCAACATTCTGCTTAATTTTTTCTAAGTTTTCCACAATACAAACGTATTATTAGTCTAAGCAGCAGAATCCTTATATTGAGCTTGCACTTCGATTTGCAACACTGGATTTTTTTTTTTTTAATTTATTTTTTGTTTGCTTAAAAGCAGTCTGCCTTCTTCTTGTACTTGGTAAAACATTTACAACCACTCTAAAATTGACCTGCTGAAAATCTAGTGAAATCCAAGAATATTATCCTGGTAGTTTGAAATAAGTGCATACAGTCTCTCTTCGTCTTCTTCCCCCAGACCCAAAATACAATTTCTTATTCTTCTGTTCATAACGTTCTTCCTAACAACCTACAGTAACTCAAACTCAGCAATGCAAATTCCTCCTTTGAGGCAGCAAAAGAACTGCCACAGCCACCTCCTCCCCCACACTGGGAGATTGAGGCACCCAAGTTGTTCTGTTTTAAAATCGATTTTTTTGTCAACTAGTGATTAGCGCAAGAACATTTTCATCTCATTTTTTACACATCAGTAGGAAAGTGTTAGAAAAGTATAGAAAAGGATAGAATTTCTCTCGCAGTAAGGCTAATGAAATAAATTTTTTCTTTTTTTTTTTCTTTTTTGCAAAGCAGATGGAAAAGAAGGAAACAAGGAAATATTTGTGTCATGTTTCTGCTACTTGGGTAAAATCACTGGACATTAAGAACACGTGCTGAGACTTCATGGTGCCAGTCACGTAATTTTGTATATTTGGGACTAAAGACGTGGATGGGAACCTTTTCCCTGTGGAAAGAAGTGATAGAAGAAAAATAAGAAAGAAAGAAAGAAAGATTGTCTTAAGCAGTTTCACAAGTAAGCATGCAGCCTCCATGCAATACTCCTGTCTGCACATTGCCTTCCTCTCTGTCAAAAACCTGGATCCAGTGTTAGGCAAAGTCAGCAGAAAATCTCCCACTGACGGCAAGAAGCATTAGATTTAGCCACTGGTTGATCCTCATTTTGAACAACGCTTATTCCAAAGCAAGGAGACAGCTGACCCTCATTTGCAGTCCAGAACAATAATACTTTCCAGCTATGCCTTGCAATCTGAACCACACTGGCAAATCAAAAATGCCTGGTTAGATTTAGGAAAAGGAAAACACAACTGACAAGTTGACCTTGCACAGAAAACCAAATCAGTCCAAGTTTATGGAAAATCTCAAACTCTCGCACAAACAATACTGGACTGCAGCAAACAGATACTTAAAAGGTCTGTCTACATGGAAAAAGATCTTGAGTTTTACATGCTGAAGTGAAAGGCAAAAAAAGCAGCAACCCTTTAAAAACACCAAATGTCACACAAATGCACCAAACACTATCAGTTAAGAATTAAGACGTGCAAAGTATTAAAGTAATAAAAATGCAAAACATCAACTCACTTAGTCTTCTTTGGAGCTTCATGTTCTGGTTCCTTCACTGCAAGAAAGCAGAAAGCTTTTATTTTCTACGGCACTAAAGGCATTGTACCACCATACACTGCTATCCTCCCCTGTGCCAATGCATTCACAATAAAAGTTACAAAAACGCCTGTTAGGACTCCTCGATTCTAAATACATCCCAGTGAAAATGAGCTATGTCTATAAACTTCAAGAGCCCCTTTGCCAGAAGGATTGCTGAAAGGTGGCTCTGCTGGTCTCTACCCTTTCCCTTGGCACACTCTCCAAGTTGGCATTCAGAAAGGCGGTTAGAAAGGGGAAGATGAATGGAAGTTGGGAGGCATTTCTTTTGGACGAACAGCCAGTGCGTTTATATGCTGATAATCCAAGCATCTGCTTACAGCCAGGCTGTGACCCATCAAGGTAACTGTCCAAGTGGAGAATATTTATCACACATGGCTAATAATCCTTATTTGGGAATAGGTTATCATTGGCTTCTAGAGTAATTCTGCCAGAGAATCAGTAGTCGATTTAATCAAACCTGCCCCCAGGGAGGGGGTCCGGTTTCCTCACTGCTTTCTTTATTGTAACACTAGCTGTGAAAAGCAGAATGAAATAATCACCTCTGTATGAGCTGCCTCAGTCTGAACATGACTGAGCTCAAATCTCTTGATGGTACTTCTGATGGCTTTTACATACCATTACAGATCTCAGCCAATGAATTGTAACTGACAGCATATGAAATTGAAGTTTTACCATAAAATTATATGACTGGGAATTAATCATTTGTTCCAGTCCACAGTACATGTAATCAAACCATAGCACAAGTAGAGGATGAAAACATAACCTGGGAAAAAAACCCAAGGAACTATGGATTTATGCTTCTGTTTGACTAAAGCACTGCAGATCACACACCTTTGGCATGACTGTCAAAGATTTTCTACGTGCCTGAAAACACCTTAAGTTTTCTGAAGTACTAAATTTGAACAGGAATGTCACTGTTTTGGTGATACAGGAGGGGAAAGAAACAAGAAATATATATCTGCTAACATCTTTGGGTGTAGAAATATAAATATTAAGACTTATATAGAATGTATTAATCGTGAACCCAATCAGGAATAATGTCCAGAAATGTCTATGTTCTGAGCTAGTTTTTGTAGTTTTACAAAAATACTTTTCTATGATAGTCTTCTGAAATATTTTTCTTTCAAAGAGCTCACCAAAATTCTGCCTACTGAATTTATTATCCAAGAGGGAAAATGGAAGAAATGTGACTGAATCCTTTTACCACTTATTCCCACTCCCAGCTATTAAAAACATCTATCAGTCCAAGGCCATTAACTTTACTTGGTTTACACCAAACTACTCACTATGATCAGTGCCGGTGATTTGGGCAAGAATGCGGAAAGAGCGGGACTGGGTGGTGCCTGTCCGGGGATGCCAGTCTTCAGTGTCTTCAATCAGTCGCTTCTTGCTGGCATCGCTGTGGGTGGGTGTGTGGTAGAACTCTGTGTAGGTATCCACAATGTGCTTCCGTGGGGGGCTGCGGCAAGGAGAGGAGAGAGCGATGAGTAAACAGCTTCAGAGACCGCTGGGGTTGGTGTAGCTACAAAGACACAGGCAGAACTGTGACTTTTCACAGCATTAAAAGGCAGCTTCTGTATTTGGATGCAGATGTGCCGCAGTGAGCTTGTAGAGGCATACCTGAACACAGATTCAGTTCTCTGACCCAAACACAGCTTTATAATTACTCTAACATGACTAAAATATTTTTCCTTATTTCACCGCCAGAACATTTGAAACAGTAAAAGACAGTGTTATCAAGACATTTACATGTTTAAATGTTTACCGTTTGGGTGGGGTTTTCCTTGGAGATGATAGAGTGAGACAGCAAGAGAAAGATTTCCCAGCATAAACAGGAAAAGGAGAAAAAGAAAACAAGAAATAAAGTCAGAAAGTTGAAAGAGAAGTGCAGCTAAATTATTCTATTGAACTAGTTTTGTGGGAAAGGACACTGAAATCCGATTATTAGTGACATTCTTATTCTACTACCAAAACTACAGCACAGAATTCCCATACTTAAACTTGCATCCATTTCCTCTCCAGGATGAGAGGGGAATTTCTTTTGGTAAAGCAGGGTAGTCTACTTAGTTCAGTTCAGATGCTCTTCAACAAATTCTCCCCTTGGCTCACAAAAGGCAAAGCACTAACTGTGTGCAAGTCTTTTGCACTTGGCAAAGCCTGGATCAGGCCGAGGCCATTTAAAAGAGTAGGCAGCAACGTTCTGGAGCATAATGTGGAGATACTGATGCTCAATACCCTCTCTGAAAATCAAAAAAGTGGGGTGATGTTTCATCTGGAAACCTTTCCCACAGTAACCTGCATGCTAATATCAATCCCTGCACTAGCACACTTGCAAGAAAACAGGATTTTAAAGCTTTGTTTTCAGTAACTGATGTAAAGAACTTGTAATGGCACTGACCAATTTAGGAAAAGGGAACGGAAGATCCATACTACATACATATTACTCCTAAATGCCATATTTGTTATTCCAAAGCATTAATCTTCAAAACTCTTTAAACATACACCTACTTTTACATAATTTACAGGAGATTAATTGTGCAAAACTAGCTCCTTAGGCATAATAATTTAAACAAAAAAAACCCAACAAAACCTAAAAAGTTACTTGCATTTTTGCCACTGCTTCCCCACTGTACTCTTAATGTCCAAAGTATTTATGGTGAAGAAAGATGGAAAATATGAATGAGCATGATGTAAATTATTAATTGTCAGCACGTAAGAATTAGGTCCACTCGATGGAATGCATTAGGAAATACTTAAGCTTAAAAGAATACTTAATACATGAAAGACCAATGTGAAAGGTATCACACAAAATTATACTGAAAGATTTAATTTATTGACACACAGTATTAGTGAAGTATGCATATATCAAAGCTCCTAAAAGACAGAGAGGTATAGAAAGAAGGACAGTGGTATTTCCAGGATGGAGTACAAGAAGTACAGAGAACAATGAAGTAAAGCATCAGACATTATTAAAAAGCATTTAATTGCAAAAATAAAATCTGAACATTAAAGCAGTAATTAAGGGTGTGGAACTACATGGAAATGTAATTATTTACATGCAGTTGACTGCATGCAAATGCAGCAAATGCCGCAGTGAAGTACTTTTTTGAAAGTACTATTATAAAAAAAATAGCCCCCTGACCTTTTGTGGATCCTACTGGTCCCTTTTTTAAGGCTTAAGAGTCCACTAGTAATGACTCGTTGAGGCCACAAGGTGGTGCCAGAGACAAAGGAAAAGTCAATGAGACAAGGCTCTGCCTTAACTCAGCCCTCAGGTAAGGGGAGAAAAGACAAGCCAGTGAACCCTCAATCATGTTTACGATCCCCAGTATGTACAAGTCACATCTGGATGCACACGGATGTTACTCTTATTTTTGCTGTATAAATTCAGTATCTCTTCATTCCACAGTCCTCACACCACTGTTGCTTTTATAGGGTACTCCACCATTAACTAGTTGTATTACCAGCACCAACTAGCCATAACTGCACTAAGAAATTATCAATACACACAAACACCACACAAAAATAATAATAATTTTTCAAAAGCTGCAAAATGTAACACACTGGGAACAGCAAGATCACATTATGTCCAATGCAGACAAAACCATTTACTGCACTAAGAAGTTACAAAGAAGAGCTGAAGCTGTTGCGCAAAATGTAAATATAAAACCTCAAGAGTTATAGTTTTTCAGAACAATACATGCTGGTTATACCAACAGGAAAAATGATCATAATTCAACTCAAGTGCTGTTGATACTAACTTTATCATTGTTGTTATCTGCAAGGGAAAAAAAAAAAAGAAAAGAAAAGAAAAGGTATTTGATGTGTTAATATATTCTTTGCTTCTTGAAATATTACAGGAATTTCCAAATCCAAGCTCTGGTAAAGCCATATATCATGTAATTCAAGCTTAAAACCATCAAGAGAACCTACAAGGGAAAAAATTAGCCCAGCTGAGCTTAAACTGAGTGAAATCTGTCAACCTCTTACCTGTTGAAAGCAGCAGGCACGTTTTCATGCAAGAGTTGGCAGAAGGTCTTGAATAAAGCATAATTGCACAGCCTAGAAACTGCTTTCTTTCTAAGCCATGACTAAACAAGGGAAACAAAACTTCCTTCCTCATCCTGAAGTGAAGGCAAATAGTTATATCCTGAATGTGGGTTGAGGGGAGCCAGAAGGAAGAGAGGACATTCTGAGTACAAGGTGCATGTCAGAAGAACTGCATTTGCCCAGTAGAGCTATGAACAAGATACGAACTATCCCCCACCCTTTTATTTCTTTTGAGAAAATTAATAACATGAAACACAGAAGTAAAATGGAATTTATTTCCGACTGCTCAATTATTCCAAACTTCAGTGTTCCTGACATTTCATAAAATGTCACTGATTCCATTTTCAGTGGGGAGGGAGATGATATGCTTCATTGTAAAAATGTGATTTTTGCAAGTAAAACTAAGTAAGTAGTGTGGAGGCAGACATCATAACAACTGTAGGGGGTTTTGTTTGCTTCGTTTTGATTTCTGCCTTCAACCACAAGATAGTTTGACAGCCCAAATACACTACTGCAAGGAAGATGTCAAAATAAAGTAGGTTTTTACAGTTCTGAACATTTTCAAGCTTTCCCAAACTAGATCTTGAAGGTTGGCAGCAAAACAGGGATTTCTTCACCTGTCAGCTGTGATACTCTTCAGTTGGTATGATTAATCTCATAACTATTAGATAGGGCACGAAACAGTGCTCACCCAGTCATCCTATCTTGTTTGTCAGGTGCTTACTCTACACTTCCAGCATTTCCCTCCAGGAGACTTAGTTTTATTGCTACTGTTCCTCCTTTTCAGCACTAATTACTGCTTTTAAATACTCCTCACACAGTTATTTGCTAAAACAACATTCCTGGAAGGATAAGAGATGGTTTGCCAAAGTATTCAACAAGTCGGCCAGCATCAAGCAAGTCCTTGGGTTTTCCCAATTTCATCCCACTTCTATGCAGCGCGGACTCTTGCCATCAGCTGTTTAAGAAAGGGCTGGAAGTTACCGTAACAACAGTGTGATATAAAATGCATACAGACTGCTTTATACGAGTCCACATATGGAAAACATTCGTACTGCAATATAAAGGGAATAGGTACCTTAAGAAGTTTCCCCTCCCATGAGACACTCAACTGAAACTGCAATTTATTCTGTATTTCAGTCGATGGGGATGTTTACCTTTCTGTAGGTACTCTTCATATACTTTACATACCAAGAGAATATCAGACGAGAGGCACTAGGTCTATTCCTACAGCCCCTTTCCTTCGAGGGATGTGAAACAGTTGACCACAGCTTTTAGGTTTTAAGCCCAGGTTTTACGTTCTCAAGATTGAAGAGAAACCTGTAGTTCCCCTCCAGCCCCTTTTATTACTTAATTCAATCCTCTGGACACTGCTGCTGGGCACAGAGGCCAACTGGCATGGGACCACTCCTGCCCAGCCTCCTCCCCTCCCCACAGCACAGCAGCCGCTGGGAACCAGTCCCTAAGGCACTACAGCTCCCAAGCCCTGCCCAGGAATCTCTGGGAGAGCCCAAGGTGGCCCCTGCCAAAAGCATGATGCTGAAACAGGGTCGCACTGCACATCTGAGTGCCCAGGATTGCTGCTGGGCTCAGTTTAATTTATTAATCTTCATTTATTAGTCTAGATGCTACACAGTATACAGAGTAAGCCTTTTATGCAGCCTTGCAGTACCCTAAATGTTAGGTCTTCACTATTCCTTTAACAATTTATTTGAATATGAAAGTTTTAAAACTGTATTTCTTTTTTAGGATAAAGGCAACATTAAAAGCTGAGATACTATAATGCTACAAAAAATCTGCCTAACCCTGCTGGATTCCTTGAATGCACCTTGAAATTTCTCATGTGTCCTTGCATGTGTGTGCAGAGAAGTAATGTGACATCTCTCCCTTTGCCTCCCTTCTGGGGCCTCTCTCCACAGGTCCTGCTTGGTCTTTCAGAGCATCTCATTCCCAGCCATCACAGCACCCACTGACAGACCACTCCTGCATTTTTGAGTGCCTGCTGCTTTCAGTCACTGTATGTAGAGTCAAAACGCACAGTGAGACACAGACATTGAAATTAATACCAGGCTTGTTATAAGGTCCAGAACACATCATGATACAACCCATTGTGTAAAGCATTTTGTGGTCCTGGTTCAATTTAGCCGTGACACTTCATAAACCGATATGTCACTCCTGAGAAAAATCATCACCTTGACCCCTCGAAGCATCCCTTTTAAAACACGAGTCCTTCCCTCAGAGGTTCACTTCTGAGGATGAAGTGACTCCTCCAAGCTGTGTTTTACTTAGCCCTTAAACAAGCCCGGCTTTTTTCCTGTGAGGAAAGACCCTCACAGCAAAAAAAAATCCCACCTACCCATTTTGCTGTTTACTCTCCCCCTGGTTTTCTCTGAATCCTCGTCGTGGCCCCTCGGCTACATCCTGGGTGCCGTCGCCAGCAGAGGCGCTCGGGCCGGCATTGTGCGCGGCGGGCTGCCGTGGGACATTAACTGCAGGTTTAGCAGCGCTCAGCACCGGTGACCGCTGCTCAGCGTTAGGCTTGGCGTTAACATGCAGTCCGGGCACAGCGAATGGGGCCGGGGCGGCAGCCGCCTGGGCCGGGGTGAAGGCGGAGGATGGTGATGGGATGGAGGTGACTTTGGAAGAGGTTACGGCTCCAAACGGCCTTGGTGTCTTATTGTAAGCCACGCTCACCGTGGCAGTGACTTTGGGTGCAACAGCAGAGGCAATGGGCACAGGCTTAACTACTTCTGTAGGTTCTCCCTATGCGAGATGAAAAAACAAAAAAGAAACACACAAAACCACGCCAAACGCATGCACATTCCTCAGCAGGGATTTTCACTGCTCTCACAGGAGATAACCCACCTAGCGTGAAACCACGAAGCACAGAAGCAAGCTTTACCAAGAATGCAGCCATGAAGTGTATGGAAGAAAACAAGCCATGCGTTTAAGGAAAGGGAATGATCCAAGCATGCACAATCAAAATGCAGTCCCATGAAGATAACTCTTCTCATCTTATCCAAAACAGACACCCCACAAATCAAATTCAAGAGAAACTAAAGAACTACTCTACTGTAAAACCCACTGGGTAAACTCATGTGGAAAAAATTAGTGGCTTCTTATAAAATCCACATTCCACCTCTCAAACCCAATTTGAGATACGTATGTTCCCCATAAACAAACAGCATGGGTATGTGTACACATACACTGTATGTATTTATCTGTTGATATGGCCCTTAAGAGTGGAACCAGAGCCCTGGAGCTCACTTATTAAGTGGCCAGTGCTTCAAGACTCGGTGAGCTTTTCCCGTTGCACTCCATCAATGGCCCCAACATCTTCATATACCCTTGTCAGATTAAAACATTCAAAAAAATACAAAACAATAAGTATTGTTTCCCCGGGAGCTAGGTTTTAACATGGTAGTTCCCAAACTGTGGCCTTTCAAATCACAGTCAGCAAAGCAGTAATATACGATAAATTACTTATGTCCACTGGAGAGGATCTTCATGTATAGGCCATTTGTAAGCAATTTCAGGTTTGCAAACAGCCTTCTTATCCAAAAGAGGGATTTGCTTGAGAACAAAACATTAGAAGCACTTGAGAACAAATAATTCCCCAGGGTTTTAAGGAAACTGAGGGGAACTGTTCTATCAAACTCTAGTATTTAGATAAGCTTCTTCTGAATACAAAGGAAGATTTCACTGCCCATTAAAAAATCCCCAGCCAAACAAAATAAAAAAACCTGAAACAACATAAAAAAAAAAACCCAAAAAAACAAACAATAAAAAACCCCCATCAAAATAGCAAAAAAATGCAACTCCCCAAAAACCCCAAAAACCAGAAACCAAAAACAAACCCAAATAAAAAACCCACCAAAAAAAGCCCACTAACGTTTCTCCCTTAGGGATAAAGGTAAAACTTGAGCAAATTCCCAAAAGCAGGAAGCAAATATTTACTAAGCTTTTTTTTCTGTTTTAATAATCATTTGTCAGGTCTTTTAATTGTCTCTTTTTTCTTTTTTAGGGGGTGGACAGGGAACACTCAAAGATTCAAATGCTGCAATGCTCTTAATGTAAGATAAGGAAATCAAGCATGTTATATAGAGAGGAAAGTTTGAATGAATGCTTATCAACAACAGGGTTTGACAGATGGGTAACAGTTAGAGCCAAATGCCACAACCAACACTTCTTGGTTGTGATGATGTACATACCTTGGGTACCTGAACAATATCAGGTTTTTGTACAGATGACACTCTGGAAGAGAAAAAAACATACGCATAAGTGTAAAAACCAAAGTTCTTTAATGTTTAAACATTTTCCTCTTCCAAATCATCATGTCATCACAGACACATAAAACATTACATTTTGTTTCCTCTAAAGGAAACAGAAGTATTTCAGTTACACCTACAACACTGTTGTTAACACAAGGAAACAGCAAAACCAAACTGGATTAATTTATCCAGATACAATGTTAGGAACTCTAGCATCTACCATCAAGTAATATTTTATTTATAAATTCATAACACCCTATCACCAGTTAGAAGACTAATTTGCTTACTGTTTTCCTTCCTTTCACAAGATGCTATGTCACGTAACTCAAAAGCTAGTCAGATAAATAGCATTTTAAATAGCATGTAACCTATATTCAGGCTTATAACAGATAGCTTCCTTTTAGAACAACAACAAAAATCCTTCTGAAGGACTTAGGAAGTTAAACGACACAGAAACTTATTGCAGTTTTTGGCCTTCAAAGGTAAGGTTAATGTCACTTGAACTCTACAGCAGACAGCAAAAAAATTTCTTCCAAACAATGACTGCACTGAAACTACTGTGGGGTGGTGGGAAGGAAAGGAAGTATCACAATGGAAAGGATTAATATGATACAGAATTGACAGACTTTGTTATACCTGAAGTGAACTGGCAATATGTTAAAATAAAGGCATCTCACTTGATAGTTGAGGGTTTGGTTTTTTTTTTTTCAGATTTGCATATACTGCTGTGCAAAAATACACACATCACAAAATTAAACAAAAAAATAAGCCAACCAACCAGCAAAAAATCTGACACACTAACATTTTGTCTGCAAATATTGCTGATGATACGCTTGAATCTCTTCATACGGTTTTGGTAGAAAAGTGGCTTCTTGCCACATTTCAGGATATTTCTGGCCATATTTGGTAGATGCTCAGCAGAGACGGCATCCTTAATGATCCAAGAACAGCAATCATATCCTGCCTGAACAACTACAATTTCTGATGAATCTTCTAAATAAAGTTTTGAAGAACTAAAGCTGGATTCCCATTTCCAGACGATAATTTGCCAGGGAGGCAAAAAGGTATGTTTAATTGGACAGCAGCTAACAGAGGCTGCAGTTTAACACACCTCCATTGTATAAACCAACTCTTCTATTTCTACCAGGAAAACATGGAAAGCTCGGATTCCAACAACAGCAATGCTGTTGCAGGTTCAGTAGCTAACCTACAAAAAGGGAGATACATAAAAACTACATGCTGTGTTTGGAGGAATGG